AAAGCATTAAAGACAGTAGGGAATGGAAAGAAAAACAAAAGACCCATAATGGAGGAGAAGAAAGAGAAGGAATTATTCTCTTTATCCAGAGAAATACGCAGAGGAGGAATTATTCTAAGTTTCCTTTTGTTCTATTCTTGCAGCATTATCTGAGGCTGCTGATGTCTACTTTACAGAAATTCAGAAGATTGGAGAACAAGCCCTACAGAGCTCTACTTCACAAATATTGGGTAGGATCCTTTCTTCTATAGTTTACTATGACACTGGGGCTTGTTCCTGTTCCTGGCAGAGCCTCTATGCCCGTGATAATTATACAGCAAGCAAGATTTCGTAGCTGGCCGAAAAAGCAAAAAGAAACATAATTCTTTCATTTTTTTGACACAATGCTCAGCTTAGGTACAGTTTGACAACATGGTGTGAAGGATGAAATGCAAGTGCCATTTTCCCCTGCTTATAATTTGTACTACTGATTTGCTTCCAACCTACTGCACTCAGTATATGGCCCCATGACTTTTGTTTGGGGTTGTTTGGCATTGAAGTGCACTGCTAAGCATCTATTCTAATATAATAAACCTTATTGTAACAGGATATCTCTTGAAGAATCTCCTTGGATGGTAGAGCCAGAGGGTTGAACCTCTTTCAGCCCAAGGATCAAATTCAATTTTAGAATAGTTCTTGGCAGCCTCATTCCAATGATGGCAGGACTGGAAGCAAGCCTAGAATGGGGCCAAAATACCAACATCTTTATTTTACAGCTCGCATTGCTAGTGAAGAAGCCTTAGGAAAGGCATGTCAACCTTTTGAAACAGAGAAAAACCTGTGTGAAAGCCAGAAAACTATCAAACAATTGGCAGGAGCTGAGGCCAGGAGAAGGCACCATTTGCAAGTCAAGATCTGGCCTGTGGGCTGGATTCTTGCATCCCCAAGATACAGCTACTTGTGCTAGAAGCCTTGAGAATGGCCACACTGGCCTTAGGAGCCCTAGCACCTGGCTGACTGGGGGAAGAAGATTTACTGGTTGGCCACTTTGTAAACAGGATGCTGGACTTAAGGGATCCTTGCTCTGATCCAGCAGGACCCTTCTGTTCATTGCTGCCAATTCCTCCTTGGAGGAAAGAGGGAGCCCCAGCACATCCACTAGCCTGGTGAGAAGACCTGCATCTCCCTTATCCCAGATTTCAATATGGTATCAAACTAAACTTGTGTGGTCCTCTGAGTGCAGCCAGTGCTGCCAGGGGCAGGTCTGCCAGCTATTTATTCCCATCCCTATTAATGTAGCTCTTGTTTTTGTAGCTGATGGTATCATTCCGTTGTAATGTTGGCTCCAACACTTTGGCTTCGCTCTTTTTTAATTCATTAAATATATTTTATTATGAACATGTTGGGGTTTTCTTGTTTTGTTTGTTTTGATACGTGATACTGATTGTGAGCTGCTTTGGGCATGGCCTGGTGCAACATTTTCAATTAAATGGAATGCAATTAAGGGTTGAGAAGAAGGAAATGGGTCCACTGGAATCAGGCTTGCAAAGGGTATCCTGTCATTCTAACCAATGCTGCTTTACAAGCTAAAGTGTTTCTATAAAGGACCCGTTGCAGACCTTGGTCTGAAGGCTGTCCATGTACAACTTGCAAGTTTTCAGTGGCGCTGTGAAGGTTCACCTTTCAGGCTGCTTGCTATTTGTTTCAAATATGACACACAAGCCATTCTTTTATGCATATTTACCTGGATGTAGCCTCACTGAACACACAGTCCTACCTCTGACAAAACATATATAGGAGTGTGCTCTGAAAGTATCCTTGAGTTTTGTGTACATGTACCTTTGTGAGTATTGTTAATCTGATACAGAAGACAGAACCATTGAAAATATATATCCCTCTAGGCTAACTGTAGGCAGACTTCAAGATTGTAGCATCGGTTTAGTTTTTTTACTTGTACCTCAAGATCAACCAGCTGCTGCCTGTGCAAAGGACTTAGAATGAAAGAATGTGAGCCTGCAGATTTATTTGGAATACCAAAACCGAATGGAAAACTCAAAGCAGAAACTCAAAATGTGCCTTTAATGTCATATGTGGAAATATCTTGAAAAGCAATAGGACAACTTGAAGGGGATTTGTCCTTTTTGCTTAATTTATCCTTGATATTTTTCAGTTGGCATTCCAATTTCCAAAGTGGCTAGCAATCAAACTGGCATTCAGTTACCTTTGGTTAAACTTCTGAATCAGCTCTCAAAACTCTTTCATGCAGGCTGCAGCAATGAAATAATAAGGGAAGGACTTTGCTCCAGGAATAGATAACACTTTGCTTTCAGTCACATATCACCAGAAGTTAATGGTAATAATTCCTTTATTGTTCCTTTATTATTTATCATTTCTATGGTGATTTTCAAGGTGCAAAGTTCTTTGTGAATCTTTACCTGGCCATATACAGGCATACCTCAGAGATATTGTGGGTTCAGTTCCAGACCACCACAATAAAGCAAATATCACAATAAAGCAAGTCACATATTTTTTGGGTTTTCCAGTGCATATTGAAGTTATTTTTATAAAACATGTAGATACCTTGATTAAATATACTGTATAGCTAGAAATGTTAGCCAAAATCTGAGCCTTCGACAAGTTGTGATCTTTTTGCTAGTGGAGTGCCTTGCCTTGATACTGATGGCTGCTGACTGATCAGGGTGGTGGTTGCTAGAGGTTGAAGTGGCTGTGGCACTTTCTTAAAATAAGACAGCAATGAAGTTTGCTGTATCAATGGACTCCTCCTTTCATGAAAGATTTCTCTGTATCATGTGATGCTGTTTGATAGTATTTTACCCACAGTACCACTTCTTTCAGAATTGGAGTCAGTCCTCTCAAACCCTGCCTTTGCTTTATCAACTAAGTTTATATAATATTCTAAATGCTTTGTTGCCATTTCAACAATGTTCACAGCATCTTCACCAGGACTAGTTTCCATCTCAAGAAAGCACTTTCTTTGCTCATCCATAACAAGCAACTCCTTGTCTGATAAGGTTTTATCATGTGATTGCAGCCGTCTTATATGAGCGTGGTTTATGGCACCCCAAAACAATTGCAATATTAACGTCAAAGATCAGCAATCACAGATCACCATAACAAATATAATGCTGAAAAAGTTTGAAATATTGTGAGAATTACCAAAATGTGACCCAGACATGAAATGAGAAAATACTATTGGAAAAATGGTGCCAAAAGACTTGCTTGACACAGGCTTGCCACAAACCTTCAGTCAGTAAAAAAATTGCAAAGGGCAATAAAGCAAAGGGCAATAAAATAAGGCATGTCATTATGTTTTCTGATAGCATTCCTGAGAGTGAGATTAGACAGAGAAATTTCTAGATGACACTGTTAACCTGATGTGTGTATGTTTTGGTTTCACTGCAGTACTGATGCTGGATCTTTAGGCAAAGGGTTTTTCTTTTCCTGATTTCTGTGCTTTTGATTGCAATTCCTATAGGTGTGCTTTGTTATAGTGGAATAACTCAATCTCACTTGTGAAGGTGTTTTTTTAACCTGAATTTTTCCCACCTCAAAAACTTTGCAAAAGTGCTCTGAAAAACATTAAGCAAAACTGGAGGGTCAAAACATAATCAACATTAACCATAAACAACGAGGAATGGTGAGTGTGGAATAGTTTCTACATATAAAAGACTCGTGCAGAAAAGCCCAGAAATTAACTTTGTTCATGCTACACAGAGTATCATGGCTGAACTAGGCTTTGAATATAAGTGTCCTATCATACACATTAAAGATGGATCAAATTCTGACCTGTGTCAATTTTGCTTTTGTAAATTATTAACTCTTTTCTGCCCTATTTTCACCTTAATGTATGATTTAAAAAGCCTGCATGAAGAAATATATTTGCATTAGTTTTAACTGTAATTTTCAACAGAAAAATCACATATAAAATAGAAACTGAAAATTATACAGAAAATAGAAACAGAACATATCCACAGAAGAACTACAGAATTTTACTGTTAATAATGAAGAAATCAATATTGTGAAAGATTTCACATACCTGGGCTCAGTCATCAGTTCAAGATCACTGCAACCAAGAAATTTGAAAAAAAGACTGAAGCTTGGAAGGGCAGCAATGAAGGGACTGGAAAAGATCATCAGGCATAAGGATGTTTTACTGGAGACCAACTCAAGATCATCCAAACTGTTGTATTTTCAACCACAATCCATGGGTGTGTGAAAGCTGGACGGTGAAGAAAGCTGACAGGAATAAAAAAAAGGTTGCATTCAAACCATGGTGCTGGAGGTGCTTTTCAGATACTCTTGGACTGACAGAAAGACAAACCAGTGGGTCCTAGAAATGTAATTTCTTAATGTAATGGTTAGGCGAGTGGGGCTGGGGCTCAGGAAATCTGGGTTCTAGTTCCCATTGAGCCACTTTGAGCCAGTCACAAACTCTGAGTTCACAGGGTGGCTGTTGTGAGAATAAGACAGAGAGGAAAGGAGAATTATGAAGGCTGCTTTGAGTTCCTTGAAAGGAAGGGAAAAGGCTGGGAAATAAGTAACTGCTGGCCGTTGGCCATGCTGGCTAGGGCTGATGAGAATTATAGTTCTAACATCTGGAGGGGACTAGATTGAGAGCACTGCATTCCTGGTGGGCTGCCTACATTGCTGGTGGGCTGGATTCACCTTGGTGCCTTCCAAGTTGTGAGCAGTATTGCCTTACACAATGCATCATGAAATGTGCAAGACAAGGAACATTTCATTATGGTCATTCTTCTTTTTCCTTTGAAGGTGAAATTTTGATACAGATGTCTGGCACCCAAATGCACCTGAACCGCAACCTGGAAGTAGTGGTGAGTATCCTGGAGAGACAGGCACACATTAACAGGTTGCTGTGTCAGGAAATTTTTGGAGGAAGAACTGAGTCTCAGTGTTACACCAACTCTAACATGTTGTTTTGAGATCTTGCAAAATAATGGATAAGAAAGATTTTTTCCTTGTTTATGTTGTCCCAACTCACATTTGCAAGTGGGCATACATGCATGTGAATGAATCTGCTTCAGAGATTGGCTGTAGTTCTCTGTCATGTGTATGCCCAGTTAATAGGCCCCATCAATCCATGGTTTTGTCATGTCCCAAATGAAGTTTCCAGCGACAGTGACTCTGAGGAGGCATCAGAACCAGTTCCCAGTCCTTCTGAAGTGAGTCTCATGCTTTGGGCTCCATATCTTATCCTCCCAGCCTCCTGGAGCTGCCATTATCTTCAGTCTTTGAGGATGGACTCCTGCAGTGAAGAGAGATCCTGGTGATCAGTTCCAGATTGGCTTCCCCTTCTCCAGCCTTTATTCTCTAGGAGAGGCCAGTGCTTGTAGGGAACACCTTCAAGAATCGGAGGCAATACCGGAAGGGTTGGAGTTTTCAGGGAGGCTCTTCTGCTCTGACCAATTGCACTCAGACTCTGCTGCAATAACTTGTCAGTTCTCTGGTATCAGGGTCACTGCCAACGTTCTGAACCAGACCAAAGCTCCAGATGCGAGGCAGGTCCTTGGGTAACATCAAGTGTCCTTGTTTGAGCTGTTGTTCAGGACAACTGATGGATTTCTGCTGGATCCATACAAGTTTGTTATGAGAATGGACATGTGTGACCCTCCACCCATCTACCAGCTAACCTGTCAGTGTGAGGAGGAGGAGATAAGAAGCTTCCAGTTATAAACCTGACAGAGATTTGATGTGATCTCTGCTAGATGTCCAGGCTGAAGAACAAATAAATAAAAGTGCACAATACAGCATTTGGTGTATTGGGCCAAAAGAGCAACAAATCCAACTAGAAGCTTCTCATCGGTTCCCCATACATGCAAAGGAGATTGGAGGAGGGGGCATGTGAGTCTAAAGCTTGAGTGCCCTTTTCTGGTAGAAAGGCAGTGCTCAGATAAATAAGGCTCATGCATTCTCATGCCAAAACATTGCTTGCCATGACATCAGAGCTGCGTCTGTGTATTGTGTTCAAGATAGTTTTTGTCTGTACCTCCCAAGGAACACAGTATCACATATAGTGCCAGTGTGGTTTAAGAGAGTGGGACTGGGGCTCAAGAGAACTGGGTTCTAGTCCCTGCTCAGTCACAGAACTAACTGAGTGACACTGGGCCAGTTACAAACTCTCAGCTCAACCTACCTCAGAGGGTTGTCGTTGAGTGGAGCTGGAGAATTATGTAAGCTGTCCTGAGTTCTTTGAAAAGAAAAAAGGCAGGATATAAATATAATTAATTAATAATATAGCTTCACTGGTTGTTTTAGGTGACTTATACCTCATTAGCACCTGGACATGTCAAAATATGTCCTATCCTGCTGGGCTCCAGTCCTTCCTCCATTTCATGCCCAGTTAGTATCAAGGGAGGCTGATGGCTCTGACATCAGTGGGGTGGCGCATCCACTCTGGGTTTCTACCTGAACTTTTAAAAAGTTATCCATGCTGCCGATCTTATTCTGTGGATAGGATTTGGCACCTATTTTGAGGAAGTTGTTGTTAGATGCTGTCAAATCATCTCCAAGGTATAGTGACCCCATGAATAAATAGCCTGATTCAGAATGTCTTGTCCTTGACAGCCTTGCTCAGCTCTTGTAAATTCAGGACTGTAGCTTCTCCTATAGAATTGATTGATCTTATATTTGGTCTTCCTCTTCTTGAGGATAGCTCCTTTAAAATTCAGACTAAAACCCTGGGCAAATACACAGCCCTACTCACACTGGAGCCACCAGCCTCAGCGAGTTACTGTCCTTTTGGCGAAGTGATTTAAAACAGCTTCCTCTTTTTGCCCCAGGCACAGACCCTCCATGTGGACTTGCTGCAGCATATGGAGAAAAACACCAAGCTGGATGTGCAGTTCATTAACGTGAGTGCCAGCCTGTTTCCTCTCATCCTCCCCCTGAAGTTCTGCTGCTGGTCCCTGGCTGTGGCTCCTGAAAAGTCACCAGCCTGCACATATATGCTCTCCTCCCCAGTCTGGCGACTTACAAATGTTTTGGACTACAACTCCCATCAGTCTCAGCCATCATGGGAGTTGTAACCAAAAACATCTGAAGAGAACCATGTGGGGAAGGCTGATATATGTCCATGGAGCCAGTATGGCCATGCTGTGCAAATAAGGTGTTGTGCTGGATCATGCACACACACACATCTGCACACACACACTGCCTAGTGCTCATGGCTAGTAAGTGTATGGATAGCGGTGCCTAGAGCAGGGTGTGCTGCCATGAAGGCAGTGGCTGCTACTTAGGCATTTCTGTGCAGAGCTGGATTACTCCTGAACCACAAGGGGGCTGCAGGCTTTCCCAGATCCCTAGCCCAGAAGGACCATTTCAGATTTTTGTGAGGGTGGAGTAAAATTGATTTCTGTAGGGAAAAAAAATACAGAAAGTATTAGAGGACAATCTTATGCCTTTTTAGACAGGAAAATGCCCTATAGCTCTCCTGCTGGCTGAGAAGCATAAGATTTTTTTCCCTGTCTAAATACAGGTATCTCAGCTCACGAATGCCTCAGTTCACGACCAAATCGGGTCACAAACAAAAATTTCATGAAAATTTTGACTCAGGTCACGAACTCCACATTGGGTAGTGACCGCGATCATGGCCATCTCCCATTTCATTTAACAGTGCACATAGGGGCCATGCTTGGACAGGAGTAGTTGCATCAGGCAATGATGTCACAAGCCGTAACTCATTAGCCACGACTCGTCCGAGCTTTTGCATGGCCTGTCAGTGTGCTGCCAAGGATATATATATATTTTGCTTGGACTGGCTGTGAGTTGTTTTTCCTAAACTAAAACTTCAGTTTTTAGGTTTGATTGCAGTGTTGGAACTTTGCGATAAATAAGTAGGTTTTGGGTTGCAGTTTGGGCACTCGGTCTCTAAAAGGTTCGGCATCACTGGTATATAGGATGCATACTTAAGCCATGTTCATAATGTTAAACTGCAATAAAGCAGTGTACTTTTAATAGCATTTGCTTTGGATTTCATAATTATAGCAATGTTATCAGGGCAGGACACACAGTCACATACTTTCTTTCCAAAAAAAAAAAAAAAAGACTCACACCTTCTTTAAGCCATACATATAGCCAGGGCTTTTTTTTTGTCATGGAATGCACTGGAACAGCGTTCTGGCACCTTTTTTTGACGGATTTTTCCAAGTGATTGTGAATCGCCCTGTTGGGCGTAGCAGATCTGCAGCAAAAATCATTAACATAGTGCCTGCGGGCTGCTTGTGTGTCGGCGCTGATTGTCGGCGCTGATTGTGAGGGCGCTGCTTGGCTTGGGACGCTGCTTGGCTCAGTAAGCTGAGTGCTTACTGCCGGCAGCGACCACTGTGTAAAAGAGTGACCCCAAGATGTGCGTTCCAGCACCTTTTTTTTTTTTTTTTACAAAAAAAGCGCTGCATATAGCATTTAGTTCCACTGAACTATTTAGCATGTTACTAAGCATGTGGAATTGGTGAACTGGGCAGAAATGCAGGAATCAGTTGCCTGTGGTCTGCAAAAGGGAAACAATGACATGCCCTGCTTTGTACTTCCTAAGTGGCACTGTTAATAGCTGTGAGGAAAAACTGGGGCAGAGGCAGCCTGTTGCTCTTCAGGCTGAAAAATTCTGTATTTGGCCCAGTTCATACTTCCAGGTGCATTAGTTGAATCTCCTTTTTTACTGTCATACTGTCTCATGGTGGAATGTGTGAATTTTGCTCCTTCGAATAGCACTGTTGGAGATGACGTCAGCTTATTATAAACTACCTCTCTGTGTAATTTGATTTGCGATGACTTGCTCATGCATCCCATTTGGCAAGGCATCCTTCTGGATAGTAATTGTGCAACTTTAAGCCAACCCTCACCCCAGGGTATTTTCAGCCTTAGGCCTAGGCAGTGGTGCTGGGCAGACTGGATACATGAGGTGTAATACAAATGTAGTGGCAGCGACAGTACTGATACTAATGATATGCCCCTGATACTGGATCAAACCATTGGTCCAGCTCTAGCCAGTGGCAGTGGCAAATCCTGAAGTGCTCCTCATGACAATCCCCAGAGCCCAAAAATTCAGGCAACCATGTTGAGCTATAGAGCGAGCTCAGGTCAAGCAGTTTTATCTCCGTCAGGAAGGAGGTGTTTTTGAAAGTGAATGCCTCTTCATTGCCTCCTCAGGACAAAGTCACTCTGGAATACTTTCCAGCCCATCAGGGAGCACTTTCAGTGGTAGACTGTTGGTGAGAAAATTCTTTTTGAGGAGAGTGGCAACTACATGAGTGTCCCTGCTAATCAGAAGTGTCTGTACTGTGTCCTTACAAGCCCCCACTCTGCTACCCTACTGGCTTTAGCCCATCTCTGGCTAGAAACAGCTTTCCAGGGTGTCTGGCAGGTTTTTCTATGACCTGTGAGCCAACTGTTTAAATATGAATGCTGAGGTTTGAACTTGGAAGGAGCCTTTTGCAGCTAAAGCATGGAGCAACTTTCTCTGATTCCAGAATCCAGTGAACCTTCTCCTAGCTAAGTGCATCCGCTTTGGGAAATATCATTCATCTGGTTCCACACCATAAATCTAAACCCATGGTGAAAAGTGATTTATGAGACTGCCATGGATTCATATTGACATGGTGCCCATGAGATAATTTGTGATATGTAGTACTCTTTTTTATCCCTATATCTTAATTTTTTAACAACAGCTTTAGTTTAAAAATATTTTTTTAACTGTTCTGCAGCTTGGTGCTTTCTGCTGCAACATAAAAAACCCAAATTCTTTAAAAAAAGACTTGCTCCTTGTTTTCAACTCTTTTATTTTTTGCTTGTTATAAACTGAAAAATGATTGGGTAGAAAATGGGTATTCTTCTTTTCAGCAAGGAGTTCAGACTGTTGTCACTTTGCTATTGCTTTCATGTGACCACTGTTAGGACAGTCGCCAGCGATACGAAAGGGAATACCAGCGCAGAGCTACCGTCGTAGAGAAATGCATGTCTGATCTGTGGAGAATGGAAAGAACTCGAGACCGAAACATCCAGCAGATGAAGGTAGAGAATGAGATGGAAGCTAAAGAAAATTCAAATCTGAGTAGAGTGAAGGTCTGCAACCCTTTTGGACCTGTGCGCACATTTGGGAGTTTGAAAAATTGCTGTCTTTACCACAGAATGGCTCCCATGGAAGCTGTGGCTAGCCACAGAATGGTGCTGTGGGGGCCCAGCTAGGCAACAGTGAGCTAAAGAGAAATGGAGGAGATAAATAGTGAAGCTGCGATAGACAGGGAAATGGCAGAGCTAAAAGGACTGGGGAGAGAGAGAACGAGGCTAGAGGCTAGGAGTGGGGAGAAACTGCAAGCTATTGAGAGGGGAAGAGAAACTGTGAAGCTGGAGGCTGGGAAGAAGAGAAAAACAGTTAGACAAAAGGGCAGAGAAAGAAGTCTAGTGGCTCGAGGGCAGGGAAAACGGCAAAGAAGAAGAAATGAGAGAAACTACAAGGCTAGAGGCTAGAAAGGAAGAGAGAGAACACATTTTTCTAAAGTTTTTCTTGACACTTTTTTTAAAATGGTGAAGGAGGAGAGGGCCTTGTAAATGCTTTTGGAGGTCCTTATGGGTGCCATGCTGTGTTTGGGGGGCCTGTGGGTGTCAAGCTGTGGCAAATGGTATGTTTAGAAAAGGCAGTGTGGGGTAATACTTACAGTGGTGCAACTAGGTAATTTTGATGGCTCACCTTACCTCATTAGATGATTCTGAGTACTTGAGTGTTACTCTGAATCCTGGCTGCAGAGGGAAGTGATCATCTGTTTAGACTGTTGCCTTGCCAGACCAATTTTGAAACAACTACAAGGGCATTTTTCTCTGTATTGCACACTGGAAATAGAGCTAGATACCTGTCTGCAAGCACAGCCAACTGTAAAATAACAACAACAACACCATTATTATTGTTATTATATAATAATCGATAATAATAATAATAATAAACACGCCACACAGAAAGGACATGGGCATCCCAGAGAACAGTGAGATGTCTCTAGGCAGCCTTCCCCAGCCTGATGCCCTCCACATGTGTTGCACCGCCACTCCCATTATTCTCAGCCATCTTTCCAATACTGGGAATGACAGGAGTTGCAGACCATCACATCTGGGGGCACCGCAAGTTGAGGGAGGCTGCCGTAAGACAATTTCCTTTCCATTGTGCCGGCTTGCACCCATCCTTCCTTCCTCTCCTTCCTCTGAACCCCAGGAGAACCTGAGGCACTTGCATGCGGAGATGCACGCCTTTGTCACTGAGAGCCAGGAGGCAGCTGAACTGGAAGAGAAACGTCGTTATCGCTTCCTAGCTGAGAAGCACCAGCTACTCTCCAGCACTTTCTTGCAGTTCTATACCAGGGTGAGGAGAAGCAGATACCCAGATTTGGTGGCAGTGGCTCTTTCCTTTAACAGTAAGGGACCATACTGGTTCAGTAATGCAGGAGAAACCGTGGTTCCCTGGCAACGTTCACAGGCTAGGTATGTTCATGGCCATGCTGGATCAAATCATGGGGTCAAGACAGATTGCAGTAACTCCTGCGAAGTCCTGAGCATCCAACTTTCACATTTAAATATTGCTATTTCTCACTCTCATGAAACCAGGTAAGACATAGAAATATTCCCTTTCCTTCCTTTTTTCTTTCTTTTTGCTAAAAGTTTAGAAATGGAGGATTTGTATTTCTGTGGTCTAATCATGAGAATTTTCTTTTTAACTCATCCATCAGCATACATTGGGCTAGCATGTTGAGTCTGGAAAGGTGTGAGCCTGTAGCCAGGTGGGTAACCCCATGTAGAAGTGGAGCAGAGGGTTGGATTCAATGGCTATATAGACCCCTTCCAGCTGTACCACTGTTCTTCTCTACGTCTAGCAGTTCCTTTTCGTGATAGCCAGTGCTAGCTTCCCTTTCTTACAGGCCGCTTTCTCACCAACCATCTTTGCTTGCCTTGGCTCATGTAACCAAATGTCCAGTTATAGATGTCCAGTTTGCACAGTAATTTCCAAGTGCATAACATCTTCCAAATTTATTATTTTGGGCTTCCACTTAAGATCTTTTTTTAAAAGGGATTTCTAACGCTCTTAAATATTGTGCCTGGTGGGCATTTTACACCTTTACTCAGGAGACAGAATGAAGTGGAACCTCTTGTGTTAGGGGCTTCTGATGCGGAGGTGAGGACCCAGTGTCTAACTGTGGCTTTCCTGGAGTCTTTCAGGGGCCACATCCCCTTTCCCCCCACTGCCAGTCATTTGGTGGTTCTTGCTCATGTTTATCCCATTCTAAAAGACTGAAATGCCTTTATTAAGGCTTTGCTATGGCAGCAAGAACGTCAAGATAAAATGTGCTGCTTTTTCTGGCCCCATTCCTTTGGCCATGCTGCCCGTGCCTTCAGCCCTTCCTCCGCTGAAAGGTGGCCCCCATGAGCTTCTCCAAAACTGAAGGTAGCTCTCATGCTAGGAGAGGTTCCCTGCTCCTGTCCTGAAAAGTAGTGGAGGGGAGGGAGTTTCCTTAATGCACGGTGCCCTGCTGAAAGCCATGATGGCTTATATCTCTTGGTTTAGGAATGTGTATGTTTTTGAATTATTGCATGAACATTTATGTAATACATATATATATATATATTCATTCATTCATTCATTCTACCTTTCTTCCATGGTGGAACTCAAAGTGGCTACATGGGATTCATAGGTGGTCTCCCCTCCAAGATCTGACCAGACCCAAACTTGTTTAGCTTCAAGATCTGACCAGGCTGCTTCATGTGCGTGTAGACACATCATTGCACTTCCACACTCTATCATTCTTCTTTTAAAATTATTTCTGCTCAGGCCCAGACCATCATTCAGACCAACGCACCATTGTGGAAGGAGCAGTTGGAGGCCACCCGCAATCCTGCCCAGAATTTCCTTAGCTCCTCCCACAGCCAGGGCCACCCAGCGGGCCACCTGACTCCTACTCACTTGGAGATGGTAAGGGAAAGGAAAGCAGCCAGCTGGGGGGGAAGTTCTCTGGAAATGTCTGACCTCTGGGGGAGAATTTTCAAGGACAGGAGACGAAGCTTTTGCGATCCAGCAGTAAAGTGGCACATATACATTGCTAAAAGAGGGGGAAAGAGAGTGCAGATTCACTTAAATATTTGCATGTGTTATCACTACAATTTAAATATGAGTATAGCGTAGCCACAGGGAAAGACTGATGAAGGTATTTTGGTGCCCACTTAGTCTTCTCTCTTGGTGTTGACCACTGATGAGCAGCTTTCCTGGCTCTCCCTTATCTTTAAAGTGGATATTCGCAGTCCTCCCATTAAAGGACTGTAAAGTAGGACACATGGTGACCTTATGGCTAGTCGATCAATCTCAGAAAGAACACGCAAGAGCTGGAAAAGCTACAAAAATGCCTAGCCAAAATGGACAAGGAAAGTTTGTTATTGACGAAAGAAGACCAAGAAGGGAACTTGACAAAGATTTATAAAATTATGCATGACGTGGGAAAAAGTTTTGCTAATGAGAATGTTTCCTTCCCCACCGTGGGGACCTGGCACCTGTGAACCCCTGAGCGGCTGGCACAAGGCCAACTCTAGGGGTGCCAAAACTGGTACCAGTTGCCCCCACTGAGAGTGAAACAAACTCAGTCTCCTTAGTTCCCAGACATCCTTGGCCTTTGGGAATGATTGGCCAAGGATCCCACTGGGGTCTTGTGGATAAAGCTTCTTTGCCACCCTTTCGGGTGGGTCCTTAGGGGAACACAGCTAGGTTACAGATGTGGCCTGGCATATTTTGTGCAACTTGCTTGTTAAGTTAGCATTAGTGTGACCAATAAATCGGGGTGCCCCTTTCTGAGTCTTCTTCCTTTCACCCCCAAAGCATACAGTCTGGGTTTTGATGAAATCAGGGTAAAAAAATCATTTATTAGGGATTTAAGGACAAATACAAAATGGGGGAAAAAATTGGTCCAATACAGAGCACAAAACAGCAAGCGGTTTAAAGTGACAATTCAGTGGCAATGGCAAACAAAATAGAAAATACAGTCTAGCTAGCATAGCACTGTTCAAAGTGCCTATCTGGTTCTCTGAAGACCCCTGCAACTGATTACAAAAGGGAGGTTTCTTTCTCTGGGACTTGGTTGTGGTGGTCGGGGGCAACATCTAGCGCTCATTAAAAAAAAAAAAAAAAAGGCCCAAGACCTTGTAACCCTAACCCTTGTAGAATGAGGGGCACAGAACAAATTTTTTCAGTATCATTCTAGCCAAGTGCTTTATGAGAAGCAACCAACTCCTGCCTTTCAGTGTGTGACACTACATTTCCTTGCTAACATGACTTGGTTCACTATCAGTCACAGCTGTGACTTCATACCTGTTTCCCAGAGAAAGAACCTGACCGACGTTGTGGGTAAAGTTAAGTTAAAGGTTGAGGTTGTAGTGAGGAGACTTTAACCTCATTCCTGTCCCCAGTGATCTGCACAGGCAAATGCTTATTAAAGGTTATGTGAATGGGTACTTGCATGAATGTGCAGGTGTCTTTGCTTCCCCTGCCTGTCCCCTTGTGTGGTGGGCTTACTTGGGAACTAGTGCATCTTGCCACCACAAAATGGTCGGCCACCCCTGTTCTAAGACTTCCATGACTATAAACATGGTTGGGTGTGTTGGTCCTTCCATCTTGTCACTACCTGATAGCTAACTTTGAAGAAGTGTGGTAAATTCCAGTGTACAGGAAATAGAGGATAATCCCTGGCCTAGACTGTGACAGAATGATAGTAAAGTGTATTCAGGAGGCCTGTGGATTGCTATGAAGGATAATTTCCATGGTCTGCTAATTCTTGCTTTCATTGATTTGTTGCAGCCTCAGAGACCTTTAGGTGACTTCAGCTCAGTGACAGCAGCACGTAGCTCCAGCCCCTTCGTTCAGGGTGCATCAGAAATCTTTCCCTCCCTTCATCCTGATCCAAGGAGAAGAGGCTTACCAAGGACTCCATCTGTTGGTGAGATCATTCAGGAGAGGGACGAATTGCAGGCCAATGGTATATTTCTTGTAGCAGTAGATAATCATCTCCACTTAGTCACATTTTCCTGAGACAGCTTGGGGTTCCTGTTATAAATGTAGGTGGTAAAGGCCTCTCATCTTCATTCCAGGTAGTGATGAAGCTTGGGCCCAGGTGAACATGGAGTCTGAGTACGGGAGACCCAGCAGTGTAGTGAAGTAGTTATAAGTGCTGAATTAGGACCAGGTTCAAATCCCCACTCCACCATGAAATTATTTTCGACCAATGGCTATCTCTCAGCCTAATCTATCTCAGTGTGTTGCAATGAGGATAAAATGGGGAGAAGGGAGAATCATATGAGCTGCCTTGATCTCCTGGGGGTGGGGGTAGGATATAGAAGTAATAGATCTGACTATTGATTCTACTTACAGGGGTCCTTCCAACAATATGTAAGCAGGTATCTGCTCTCACAACACAACCTTCCCTTGCTCTGACCTTCCAAAATCGTACCTAACTCTGGTTAGATTTGTGTGTGGGAATGGGAATCACTTTTGCAACATGTTCTGCTCTCCTAGAGGATGGACAACAAGTGATAGAATCCACAGAGAGAGTATTGAAGGCAACACATCTGTGAGATTTGTCCCACTTCTCCAGCAGAGCTGGGATTCTCCACCCATGGCACAATGGTGAGGCCAAGAACTTCCCTCTCTCCATATCTTGCAGGCTCCCTCTCCACTGGCCAACGTTCTCGCTCCAGCTCATTTGGAGAACAGGCAGCTGGAAGAGCAGAAGCAGAGGGCAAAGCAGAGAAAAGCAACAGTACATTGAAGGTCCAGGCCATTGCATCCCATGCTGCTGGCTCCAACCAGACCCTTCTGCAATTCAGCCTCGGAGACATAGTCACTGTACTGATACCAGAATCACAGAACGGTTGGCTGTATGGGAAGCTGGATGGTACATCCATGTAAGTCTGTTCAGACCTATATTTGGGCTGTATAAGGGAATGGTCAAGGCCATGTGAGGTCTCACAGTCACAGGTGGTTTTCTCCTGATTTAGACTTGTTTTTGCCTGCTCTAGTTTAGTGATGTAGTTGGCTCCATAAAAGCCACCCCATGAACCAGATTTAATCCTACTTTAGTCCAGTCTAGGGAGGCAAAGGAAACATCTAGACTTGCTCTGCTAAACATCTGAATTTAGGAGTTTTCTGGAAGCAGTGCTGAACCTTGTTACGTTTCAATCAAGTTCATACAGTCCTTTTTAAAGGAGATGCGAAACCAAGGTCTCTGTTAATGCAATGATGCTTCTCAAGTTAAAACATGATGGCTGCTTGCTCAGTTGGGCAACTATATTCAGAAACACAACACAGCTCCTCCCAACATAGGAAGCTGCCTTATAGTAGACAGACTGTAGGTCTGTCTAGCTCAGTACTGTTGACACTGACTGGCAGCAGCATTCCAGAGTTGCAGGCAAGGTTCCTTCCTAGACCCTACTTGAAGATGCCAGGGACTGAATCTGGGACCTTCTGCATGCAAAGCAGCTCCTGTGCCACTGAGTTATGGCTCTCACAATATCATTTATCATTTTGTTTTAAGCACAAGGTGCTTAATATTTAAAGGGGGAGCAAAGATCATGGAATTTCAATAAAATCCAATAAATAGCAACACAGTCAAGCATTGTAAGCTTTTGAACCAATGCTTGATACATGAAATTTAAAGAGTTATCAGCCCACAATAAGAGGTTGGATGCAGTATTATTTTTTAAAATACAGCCATTCATCCAATAAGCCATTTCTAGCAGTTTTCAGGAGACTGTAAAGCTAGTTGGTCAGTTGCCCATTTGATACCATTCAAGAGACCCAAAACACTTGCATTACAACATGGAATAATATTTTTGCTGGGAAACACATTTTCCCCTCAGCTACTGTCAAAATTAAACATAAACTCAGAGAGAACAGGGAATTCTGAGAGAAATAGCAGGTGGCATCAGTGACAGGGTTCAGACAACACAATAACCTACACTCAGGAGTGTAGAGTGTGGGTTGTTATTGAGCCGTAGGATGTTGTTGAGATATGGCTAGTATTGTCTGCACTCAGCTGTATTTAACACACCATGGTTTGTAAGCCATGAACAATCCATGAAGAGCAGCAATGTTGTGTTGAGAACTGTGGCTTGTTCACCATGGTTTGTTATCTTTGCTGGGTTCAGAGACAACATGATAATCCATGGGTTAGCAAAAATCCATGACACCCTTTTTCAACCCTTGAATGTGTTATGTTGTCTGAACACAGTCAACATCTCTGTTAATAAAAAGAGTGCCTGGGTTGCATTCCTGTTGGTCATGGCTCTAGTGCACTATTAGTTTGGCAACTGAGTTCCTAAGTGAAGGGTGTTGTTTCCATGTGCCTTTTGTTTTAGGAGTGGCTGGTTTCCTGAAGCTTTTGTGAAGCCATTAGAGACAGCGCAAGACCCTGTGGAGACAGTCCCCAGGTATTATGAACCTGAGTTTTATCAGTGGTGAAGTCTGTCTGTGCTTGTCCTTATTCTAAAGGGAGGGCTTGTCTGATGTCAATGCTGGCCCATCATTCGGGCCAATGGGGCACTTCTGAACATTATTGTGTAAGCAATTAACCTCAGTAGTCCCTGATACTGTTGCAGGCAAACGTGCAGCTTAGGCTAGGTCTGCAAGAGAGGTACAAGACAGTGCTTAAATAAGCAAAAGCATAAAGGTCAAGACTGTGCAATTCAAGGGAGCAGGATTACAGGTTGTGTGTGCACAGCTGGGACGTGGGAAAGGCTGATACAGTGTCTTAGAACTCAAAGACCACGCCTAGTCAAATGTGCAGTTCCACTTGGGTGTTTTTAATTTGCTGTAGTCCTCCTGTGTTTTTACCTGCCCTGCTACTGTCGTTTGTTCTTATTGCAGAAGATCTGTTAAGGACAAAAAGATGGAATAGTTGCATGATGCATTCAGATGGTTAGGGCTAGGCTCCTTCTGTCTGGAAGCACCCTGAGAATCTAACTGGCTAATATATGTAATAAGAAGGGAAAAAACAGCTTAAAGAAGGGAAGGGGGAATCTTGAGTGGACATAGGGGGAAAGGAAGGAATTCTCTGTGGTGGCGCCCAACCTATGGAATTCACTCCCCAAAGAGGTCCACCTGGCACCGTCGTTACTGGTTTTTCGGCGCCAGGTAAAGACCTTTTTATTTAAACATCATTTTAATTGTTAAAACATATGATCTGGCCAGGACAACGTCTTCTTCCTTCTCTTTTCTCCTCCTATATTTTTATTTACTTATTTTATACTGATAATTTTAATTTTATATTTATAACTCAGTGTATTTTTTGTATTTTTGTATTTAATGGTAATTTATTATGTTCTATTGTATTTCAATGTATTTTATTGTGTTGTAAGCCGCCCCGAGGTTTCGGCAAGGGGCGGCATAGAAATGTTATAATAATAATAATAATAATAATAATAATAATAAATGTTTTTCCTGTCCACTTCTTCTCTGCTCCAAATGTGTTCTACTAAGCTTTTTTCCCTCCCTGTGGAGCTTTAGACATGTATTTTCAAGGATAAATATATATTTCAAATCTTACTGTTGAAGAGGCTATGGTATATATATGTGAATTGCAGCTGAGAAGTAACAGGTAAGGAAGCATTAAGCAGTCTCTACCACATGGTATTTCTCTGTTCAGAACTGTCCCTTTCAAATCTTCTTTTTGCTAGGTTTTTGTTAAAGCCCAGCCAAAATCATTGTGTGTGCTTGGCTGATGTTTGTGACAGGAATACAGGTTTCTATCATGCATAAGGATAGCCCAACAACTCTTTTTGAAACAGAAAGAACTAATTTGGTAAAGCGTGATTTGAAATGGAGAAACAGCAGATAAGGAATTAATGCTTCATTATTCTTCTGCCCGATTCCAAATTGCCCCTACCCCTAGCAGGTTTCTGGACATGTCTAGTGGAGTGGAGCAATTTGGGAAAGAAAAAGGCTTCACACATCCTTTTCCTGCTTGCTTCTTCTCTGTTTCCATTTGCCCCCTTCTAAAATAGTTTCCCAAATTTCTAAAGGGCCACTGAGTTTCTATTAAACACCTTTGCTTGTCACATATAGTTTGTAGAACTTTTCTTTATACGACATTTATCATGGTGTATCACTCCTTATTCATGGTTGCTTATGGGTTCCTTAGACAACAGAATGACTGTCCAATTTCACTTCTTTGTTTAACAAGCATTTTCCATAAGGTTTCTTTTAGAGCAGGGAAAATGTGATATTGAATTGTGAAACAGAAAGAAAGTGCAATTTCTCTTGTGTATTTGCACTATTCTGCTATACCACCGAAGTGTCACCGAGAGGTTCTGTAGTGGAAAAGCAGGGAAAGAAATGCTCCTCATGTACTGCTGGGAACTCAATTTTACAATGAAACCAAAAGTACATAAAACTGATCTACAGCCTCATGTAGTAAAGTTCTTAGACCGTCAGAAGAGGACTGAAGACACCGCCGGTTCAAATGTTCATTCAACTCACTGGATGACATTGGGATAGCCCTACCTCACACTTTTACTGAGGAAGAGTTGAGGGGAAGAAATCATAGATACCTCCTTCACACAGCAGGAGCTTTAAAGCTCAAAAGCAAATGAAATGAGCACACCTGCCTCTTTCCCCATCAAGTGCTCATCCTTTGTTTTTCCTTTTTAAAGAGCGTTTCCTCTGCGGAGCAGTCACAGCATAGAAGAACACTTGAATCGGCCCAGTGCCCCATCTGCAGGTGATTACAGGACCAACCCTAGCAGAAGTCAGTCGCCAAATCCTTCTCTTGCTCTGCTGGGGGCAGGCAGCCGTCGCAGTAGTACAGCCAGTGCTGCAGGCAGCACAGACGCCAAGGTAATGATCTTTTTCATGAGCTTTTAAGTGTTTGGGACAGCCTCGGCAGACAACAGCCTTCCCCACTCTGGTGCCCTCTAGATTGTTGGACCACAACTCCTAGAATCCCCAGCCAAAATCTGGGAGTTGTAGTCTAATACATTTGGCGGGCCCCAGAAGGCTATTCTAGAACAAATGATCTGGCTTGGCGAGGGACCTACTAAGAGCATTTTGACAGTTCTGGGCAAAGGAGGTAGCTCATGTCTAATTTCTGTGGTGCCCTGGTGATTTGGCAGCTGTTAATTGCCTACTGTACTGCAATTGAATTCCAAATTGCAACAGTACCATATGCAAAGGCCAATCCATGTTCACTCAGACCAAATGGCTACTGTTTCTATTGGAACCACATAGCTGTGGAAAGTAAACATGTGAGCTGGAGCAATCATCATATCCGCATTTGCATATATCGAATTGGACCAAGTAGAAATGGAGGGGATGGTTGGGTTTTGTGGCTACCATGTTGTGTGGATCAATTGCTTACTTCCTGCTATAGCATGGGAAGCCCCACTTCTATCTTCCTTTCTAGTTAGCATGTTGCTGCTAAGCCCGTAATCCTGCTGCTCAGGAAGATGGTCACTGTGAGCAAGAAACTGCTGTCATACCAGGGAACCAGTGGCTCAACTTCTGTCATAAGTGCAGTGGGGCGTTTCCTGCCATTCCCCTGCTCTCTCATCCAGAAAGGGACTGTTGGGCAATCTTAGGCCTGGCCCTGCCAGGAGGCTTACTGAGACAGGCAATTTCAGTCATCATGAAAGGTGACAACTAATTACCATGAGTTAATTAATATCTATAATGTTTATAGAATATTCTAGAGTGCTTTCATAAGTTGGAGATGATTTGACAACACATAACAACATTCTGTATTGTGTTTCTGAAGTGCCAAAAAAGGGGAAAGAGGCTCCTGTGGTGCCAAAATTACTTAACTGGTCTTAGGCATTGTGCACCTTGACTAGAGAAGTGGGAATGGGGGGAGCATTTATTGTTCTGCCTTGAGCAGCAAAATGATTTGGGGTAGATGAAGTTATTCCTGATGGGGCAATGTCAACAGCTGGGTTTGTATGTCTACAGCTGAGCTTCAGGGAGGGCTCTGGAGATACGTTGCTGGAAAGCATATGGTGAAAGGGAAGTGTCTACTAGATGATAAGCCTGGAAAATAGGGAAACAGTGAGAATAACTGTCCTAGAACAACACTTTTTTGCACAAGCCCTTCTGCATAATACATGTACCATTCAAACTGAAAAGAGTAAGGCCAGGATAAACAATCAACCCACATGATTAGGGAGGAGGGAGAAAAGCAAATGCAACTGTAGGGACCCCATAGACAGCAGCAGGGCTGCAAGGGCCGAGGAGAGAGAATTTAACTCTGCCCCATGGTCAAGGGAGAAGTACCCTCCTGACTGTACTCACATATTTGATCAGCATCATGTCTAGTTTGGCTGCAAGTGGGCAAGGACCTTCACTCCAATTTCCGTTTCTGTTATGTCCCTCTTGCATCCCTCTGATAAATTTCTTAGAATAGCCTCCCTCCACCTAGAGTGCTCCAGATGTGCAGCTTCTGTAATTCTCAGTCAGCATAGCCATTGCCTTTCTATCTAGGGAGTTTACCATGGCCATTGGCCATGGTGTTTTGGGATTATGGGAGTTGCAGCTTAACTCATCTGGAGGGTCCTGGATTGGGAAAGGCAGCCCTGCATAGTTGAATACTCTTAGTGATCTTCTGATACCTGATGTTATATCTGTCCATGGTTATCCTCAGTCAGGCTTTAGGATGGGCCCCCTCAGAACTACTCCTTTCTTTTAGTTTGGATTAGCTGCCCGCACTCTCAAAAGAAACCCCCCTTTTTGTACTGTCTCTTTCTCATACCAGCTGTGGTCCCCTGTTTTCCTGTCCTGGGCAGGAGTCTCAAGGCACTTCTCTTTCACTTCCTAGGGTCCCTTCAGCTCACTTCTCTTCTCCACGACTTCCCAGCCTGATTTCTGGTGGCTTCAGGGCAGCAGCTCTTTCTGCTAACAGTAGGACATTGAGTGTTGAACATGGATGGGGGTAGGACCTAGCAAACGCGTGGAGATGCTCTCCTCCCCTGTCTTTCTCTGTTGCTGTGTGTGGGGAGGTGCTTGAAGAAAAGAAGCCATGGAAGTTAATTTTGAGATTGGAGGGGGAAGTAGAGAACTCTAGGGAAAGGAAACACATTTTTTTTACTGTTTGCTGTGGATTGAAAGCTAGGTCATGTTCACACAAGCAGTTGCTTTGGTTTAGCCACATGAACTTCAGGTACTTTTTTGTCTTTAACTCCCATGTTGTTTCCCCAGAAAGAGAAGTGGACATCGGGAAGATACAGGGTGTTCTTTAAAGAGAATTAGGCTGCAATTCTTTAAATATTTAGACAGGAAAAAGTCCTGGGACTTGTAAACTAAAGCTGGGACTTATAGGACTTTTTCCTTTTACCATGTACCTTTAGTGACGTAACTGCTACACTGGTATAGCCGTCCTTGTAAGCCGTCCAGAGACCCTTTTAGTAATGAACAGCATAGAAAAACATACATACATGCATACATACATAAAGACAGACAGACAGACAGATAGATAGAGTAGACAGATAGATGGGCTTTTCTTCTCTCTGGATACTTCCATAGCCCTGGGGCAAACTATATGCCACCAGGTTGTCCACTTAGGCATCACCAAAAAAAGGGGGGGCCAAGCAGCATCCAGATCTGCATAAAATGTGTGTATACTAATTTATTCGTCTAGATTTACAGGGATGGGTAACATCTGACCCCCACACTTGTAGCCTACAACTCCCATCAGCCCTAGCCAGTATAACCACTAGAAAGGGATTCTGGTAATGGGAGTCGAAGTATCCAGAGGGCTACATGTTGCCTATTCCTGGTCTAGCAGCTAATTTAGAAATAATTACTAGAATGTGAACAGAGAATACAGTAAAGTGGGGATGGCTGTGTCTAGGTGAGCTATGCACCTGCTCAATTTGCTGTCTAGGTGATCCTGGTTGATTGAGAACTCAAGAGCATTTCCCTTCCTGATATTCTTTATTCTGAAAGTGTACTTGAACAGACAGAAGATTGTTCTGTGTTAAGTAGGACACATAGCCATGCTATACATGGTGCTAAATTATTTATCTCTAAATAACAGTTTACACAGAATGTGATCAGGGTTAGGGCCAATCTGCAGGTGCATCCCTTCAAGAGCCACAAATCAATGTTTTTCTCTGAGTCCTATTAGTGTGCCTGGTGTCAGGGAGGACTGGACTGAAGCCATGGGGCACCGGCAGGGTTAACCCTTTCTTTTCCTATGTGGTCTCAACAAAGATTTTCTAAAGCTCCTGTTAGCCCTGGTAGGAAAGTTCCCATTGGCATCAATGGGACCTTCCCACTTGGGTCCTATACCAGCATAAGTGGGTGGGTGGACAGGAGAAGGATGGACATTGGTGAAGGATGGTGAGAGCTGTCCTGAGAAGATGCACAGTGCCAGATTGGGGAAGGATACACCAACAGTTCCTTAAGGAGAATATGTAATGCCTGTCCAGCGTGGTGTCTCTGGATCCTGTCTCTCTGTAATTTGTACTCAGAGAAAAACACTGATTTTAAACTCTTTCATTAAACTAAAACATCCACATCAGAAAAACCCTGATTAAGTTTTCAGGGAATGAGTACTATTCTGTGCTAGAAATTAGCTCCTTTTAACTCAGTGTATCTACTGCTTGCTTCTAACTAAAGCAGTCTGATTTGTAGAAGACACTGAACTTTTTTAACCTAAGCCAGCTGGAATACAAACTTAATTGGTTCTTAATTAAAAATGCAAACTACCTTGCAATAAGTGTTACCATTTAAATGGCTAGTATGAAATACCTCCTCATTCACTTATCAGATTAGGGCTTATTAATTACCTTTGTCCTCTGGCAGATGACATTACCCCATTCTGAAAAAGTGGCGTGTCTTTTGGGATGTCCCCTCCACTACAACAGTGATTACAAATACTCAAACCAAACTTGCATAGCTTGGGAACAGCCAAGGAAAGCATCTGAAAGAACCACTTCTGAAGTACATCATATTATCTATTTATGTTTGTGTGAACATAGCCTTGGGTGTGTTGGGTGTCACTGAAGTGTGTTTGGACCACTCCAGAGACTGAACATAGTTCCAAGACTCAAACCTCTTAACACATAGGAAGCTTGGATTTCTTTTTGTCAAGTAAGTTTTCCACATGTGAAAAGGACAGGGAGGATTTTGACTCAACTACCCTTTTTGGACAAGCTGTCTCCCATTCGGGTCCCCAGCTGGAGAATAAAGCAAGCCAGGGCAATAAAATGATGATGACAAACAGAAACATTGGTGAAGGTCCTTTCTATTTAGATTGAAGGGAGGCATCCTGTGATAAGTGACTCCTTTCACCCATCTCAGCAACTAAAACATTCTAGAACACCCCTCCCTGTAAGAATCTACATAGCTGACTCTTGCTAGCCTTGAAAAGTGGAAAAGAAAAAGAAAACACAGGTATAAACTTTGGGTCTCTTGGTGCCCACCACATTCTTCTCCTCCTGATCTTATTTTCCCCCCTTTAAATTGTTTTTTGGAGTGGTTGCAAAGTGAAGTACCTGGCTTGCAGCCTTCCATCATCCTCTTTTCCCTTCCTCAGAATACCCCTGGGGACCATGTGAGCCCAGAAGCTATGCGTGTTTTGTGACTGGCTGCGTCTACCATGGTAGCTGTTTTGTGAACTGACACCCCATGACACATCTGTTTTTCAATAGAGCCCATGACATTTTTTCCCAAATGCTAAATGTCAAGGAGTATAAGGAAAGGTGTAGGAGAGAAGACCATCCATGGGTGCTAGTGATTCCAACTAAGGGGAAATACTTCTCCTCCATCCTCCCAAAATGTGAGATGCAATGGACCAGGACACCAAGCCCTCATCCCCATCCTCTTCTCCACAGAAAGGGAGACAACTGAGCCACACAAAGGTGTCACAAGGCTTCTGCCTCCTCAGGACTGAGCTCTCCTGTGTCCAGAAGCGTTATCATTACCATCCTTAGACTCTGAGGATTTGGGCCATGAGAGCAGCCACTTGCATTTGGTTGCAGACTGGAATTACTGAAACAAGTCACAGCCCTTTAAGAGGCAAAGCCCCCAAACATGGGGAGGGTGGGGTCAACTAGCCTAAAGGCAGCCAGACTCTTATGTTAGTCTCAGTCTTGCTCCGCCTCTGGTTGGAACAGTATACAGGCACTCCTTTCCAGTGTCCAGCCCCAGTGCCACTCAGAGCTTTCTGCAGTGTTGATCCTTTCCTGTCTGGCTTACCCAAGAATCCTGACATACCCTGAATCCTGTTCAAGTTCTTATCCAGAGCAGATTTCTGCAACCCAGGTTATAATTCAGGGCACCTACAGATTCCATGTCCTGAAAAGGCACATGGAGTCAGGGTCAGTGAGGGAAATGCAGGGTACACCTAATGACAATCAGAAAGGAATTAAGAAATTCCCTTGCTTAAGGACAGGAAGAACAGACCTATGAATGATACTGCATCTTTTGCAGGTGAGCTGAGGGTTACTTTCACTAGTCTAAAATCGGAGCCCTATTGCATGTTTGCTCTGAAATGAGGCCACCTGTGTTTGATATAAAAGCTTGCATAGGATTGTGAATTAGGTTTCTAAGCCACGACTGCACAATTGTTCTGTGTAAGCCAGAGGCAAGGGAGCACTCATTTGGCATTTACTTCCTGAAGAGCCAGGCGTGCTAGGGTGGAGGTGGAAGACCTGCACGCCAAGATCGCTCTCCTCTCAGAACTCACGCGCTAGACCTGCCTTGCCTGTAATGCCGGAAGGGGAAGGAGCACAGGATGGTGCAAGTCCCTTGACAGAGGATGAGCATCGGTCCTGCAGGGCAACCGGTGATGGAGAGACCACCTAAGCCAGACTTCTTCAGCCTGGTCCTTCCCCCACTAGATATGCTGGACTATTGGGTTAGAGAGGGCTGACCAATCCGATGAGTGTGCGTGTTGGCATGCCCCATCTCTCTCTCCTTTTGTATCTGCAAGCAATTCACAAGTTCTTTTCTTTCAGCCTTCACTGTATTTTTGCTTTTATTGCAGAAGCCACCAGCAGGATGGGAGCATCCCCCAGAACTCTTCCCCAAGTAGGTTTTGACTCTAGTTTCATTCTGAGATTTTCTGTTTTCCCTTGAACTGTATCTTCCCAAGCATATTGTAAGGTCATCTTCCCAAAAGAAACTTATTTTTTTTATTTTATGATGCATGATGATGCCTCATTTTCTCTGTCTCAAAGAGTTTTTTGTTCTCTTACAAATTTAACAGCTTCTGAAAAAGTCAGGCTACCCGCTTCACCAAGATCATTTATGCTTACATTTCTATTCTACAAAGTGTCTTATTTGAAATCAGTCTGCTATGTAACAACACTACAAAAGAGGAGGCCTTTTTCAGTGGTGACCTCCTGCTTTTGGAACACCCACTCTACTGAAATGCATATTTTGTGCATATATTACAGTCATTTCTGCACTAGGTTATGACATTTTTATTTTTACAGATATATTAAAGTTGTGTAATGCCTTAATCTGGTATATGTTTTAAAGGTGCTATTGAAGATTCATCTTAACATTATACTATACATTTGAAATGTGTTATGGTTCACTGCTCTAGAATCTCTTGGATGGAGGGCAGTAAAAACATGTTTTCAGCCAACAAATATTCACATGCCCATATTACAGACGTTTGTAGCATCATTTGTAGAAGTGGCCTTCCTTTGCAGTTTGCAATTCAGTGGGTATTTATTTTTTAAAAGTGTTATCTGTCATGCTTTCTGTTTAATTAAAGGGAATGTTGAAAATGCTTCTGCTATGCACCGGGTAGGGAACCTCAGTGCCATGGGCAGATTTGGTCCTCTAGGGTTCTTCAGAGGGCCCCACTGCTTCCCATGACTCCAACCACTGATCATTTGGAGATTTCCTGCCTTATGTACAGTTTCCCCCACATTCTAAAAGCTTGACATGTATCTCTTAGTAAGAATTTTGCAAGATCATGAGATGGATAATTCCATTAAGGAAGCCGCAGCCTTGAGTTTACAACAGCTGAGCAGCAACAGAACAGGGTCACCTCAAGTTAGAGATGAGTTGATGACATGTAACAACAAAGGATTTGAAGCCACAACATGCTGACACGCTTGGTATTTTTGACGCCACACCTCTTGCATTCTGCCCCAATTGTCTTTGGCCACATCCACCACTGAAGAGCTCCTAACTCAAGTCAACCCTTGTGCTGAAAGAGGTTTAGCACCCCTGTTTTAGACACACCACAGTTTATCCCATTTTTCTTTTCCTTCTCTCAAAAAGATGGTCAGAGTGCTTTCTGTGTGCTTCCCAGGCAGACTGCCGCTGACAGATTGGCTAGGCTGACTTTAACAGCAGAGATGTTTAGCATATTCCCTTCCATCACAGGGCACAGGAGGGGATTTACACGGGATTTATGATGTTTCCTGAGATTTTATTTTTCTTTTCTGCCTTCTAGAGGGACCAATCCTTTTGCCACTGTCAAGCTACGCCCAACTGTGACCAACGACCGATCGGCACCCATCATCCGCTGAAAGCGGGTAATGCAGGTGGGGGTGGCTGGCACAAAGTTGTAGAGGACAATCATCCCTGTTCCAGGGCACAGCTTGGCTTGATTTGGGAAGCAGTTTCTCTCAAAGCGGCTAACCTCAGTATTGGCAGTTCCGGGAACTTCTTTCCCACATTTGCTTTCTTGTAGCAGTCAGTAGGGCCATTTTGTTATTCATCTTTGCGTGTCCACGACCGCTTCAGTGTCTGAACATATAACATGCATTTGTTTCCCATTTGTAAGGTACGGCCTTGCATGCATTTTGCCCAAATTATGCTCTTTGTTAATGAGGACATCACCATTTCTGAGTCCTTGGAGTAAGCGATTGTCTCCAGGCCTGAAGCAAGCTCTCTCGACGCCTGAAGGAGAGAAACACATGCTGCCACTGCGCAACATGCCCTCCCACTGCTATGGTGCAATGCTCCTGTCCTCCTTGTGATGGCCCCTGTGATGCTGCAGCTCCCCAACTCCCCACCCTCACGGCGGCCGCCTCAACACAGCTCTCTCCCTGCTGCTTCCAGCCCCATCCTGGAAATCTGTGTGGAAGCACTTCCTTCTACTCCTGTCATATCCAGAGATTCCCACAGATGCTCATAACTAGTAAAAAAAAATTAGGAAATCCAGTTTGCTGTACTCTTGAGCAGTGTTCAGTGTTAAAGGGCCTGCTTATTAGTACTGCACAGGATTTAATCACATCTTGGGTAATTGTGAAGGACGTAGTACTGGCTATTGTCCTGCAGCGAGGCAGAAAAAATACAGGAGAACCCAACCTAGTCAATCCTGACTGAAGATGAAAATTGCTATCGAAGTATTTAGTCGTACAAGAATTAAAGGGAATAATCTGCTCAAAGAAATCTGCCGCTGAATCTACTAGAAATCCATCTTAACAGCTAGGTAAATTTCTTGGGTCATGTAATTTGCAGAATTGTCTGTTCCTGCCATTTGTAAGAGATTTAGAAGCCTTTTTGCCTGGCTGTTTCCTATCACATCCATCCACTGTGTTATCAGCCTTGATAATTAGAATTTTAAATAACTATACCTGCATAATCTTCCCTCCCTGTCACTGTGAATTTCTGAAAATAGTACTAACAAAGTTGTTTTTGTAAAAAAATAAAAATAAAAATAAAAAAATAAAGTTGGAAGTCATATCTACTCCTGGTTACTAAGTTTGTATTTGAGATGTGCTTTATAGCGGGATGGGGAAAAAGACAGATGCATACATGGGGGCTGAGATTCCATGGAAAGGAGAACATGCTGCAGTTCTAGAAGAACTTTGTTTTTTCGCTACCTCTATTTCACTTTGAAAGCAGTATTTTCTGTAAGCATGTGTGTCCGTGTTCAAAGAACTAGGAGAACTGGGTACCATGAGGGATTGACTCCTAGCTTCCTCCACTACAGTTTTCTGTTCCAGTTCTTGATTTTGTTTGTCTTTCATGGTCTGATTGCCAAGAAATTCTAATGGAGGGTAAGGGAAATAGAGACATTTCACTGCTCCAGCTTTAGTCTTGGCACGGACTACAGTTGTGTTTTGGATGGGAGACATTTTGACACATGCATTCAGTACAAAGATAGATTTCTGAGGCTGTATAAACTAACTGGGCCCATATATCAAATTTTAATTTTCCTGGCCTTTTCACATCCTTGTGCAATCTCCTGCCCCCAAAAAATGGAGGAAAAAAACATTGAAATTGTATTAACTTTTTATCATAAAAGAAAACCATAAAGAAGAAAAGAAACAAATACAGCTATATAGATTTAAATATTTCAAGCTCAGTACATTCAAATAAAATATGTGCATTAATGAAGGACTAAACAGCTTTCTAATAATTATAACTTTCAGCAAAAGCACACCAAATATGCATTCACAAGTACTGTCTGTCTACCACCCATGTTGAAAGCAGGAAGCAGGTAGATAATTTATCTGGGCATATACCTTGCTAAATAGTAAATAGTGTTCCGATGCATAGTTTATTTGTATAACAACCTCCTCCCCAAAAGAGCTTCTTCCGAACCATAACAGCTGTGTTACATTTCCAGCAGTTAGCCAGCTTAAACACTCATTGAAGAAATGTTGTGGCACCCAGCAGACACAGAACAAGAGTCTTTGCTGAATGCAGCATCCCTAAAATCCATGGATATTTCAAATATAGAAGCTAGAGTGGCAATCCATTGATGAGGCAAAGTACAAGTCCTTATTCCATTCTGCTATTATATTCATTAACTGACAAATATTTATAAACATGGATTGTTGGTCAGCCTCAACAGCCGCTTTCAATAGTGAAAGGCTAAAGCTACATTGTAACAGATGTTGGAATCATAAATACTCCAATTCAGGCAAATTATATGGGACACAAAGCTGAGAATGACAAAAAACCCCTCACTGGTGGTATCTAGTAAATGTTCCCTTGCTAGCAGACCTCTCTTTTTAAGGGTGACTCTATGTTCTATTTATGTTCTAACCTACCCTAAAACTGCCTTTCTCCTGCCACTGCCGGGTGCTTATGGTTGCCCAGTGTCTTCATTCTTCTTCCTCTACTGGGTTCTGTTGTTAGCTGTCATATAACATGCAGGTTGCAGAGCACAATTGCTGAGTGTGCCCACATATCAAGTCGGATCAGGGCCTCGAGGTAGATTGCTAAAACTATGCAAACTGCCTGGCAGAGCAGTAAAATGGAGTGGAAGATTGTGCAAATTTCAAGGCACAGCTATAAAATTTTGGAGAAACTATGCTACATTCCTAGAAGTAGACATTCTGCTCAAAATACAGTTCTAAAATTGTGAACATATTCAGGATGATCTCAAGTGTCCTTTCTTTCAGCTTTCAATTGAAAAACATCTAAAATCTCCCCCGTAGTGTTGTTGGGGTGGGGCAGCTGAGAAAAGCTGGGCGAGAATGGTGCAAGATCAAGAGGAACCACGGGGGATGTTCTTATTGCTGCTGGGCAGCTTTCTAGCCATCACTGACAACTCATGATACAATTGTCATGTTCAGATGTCCAGACAAGCCTGTTAAGAACAAGCCATGGGTTCTCAAGGAGCTTGTTTGTAAAAATACAATAAAAAACAAAACATTGCACGGATATCATACTAAGTAACCATGTGACCACCATAACAATAACAACGGATCTTTGCATATCATTTTTTGCTCACCAGGCTTTGTATAAATTGCTTTGAAGTCTCCTTGTTGGAAAACATGAATATCCTTATGCAAAGAGGTATATATTCTCACAGTCACACTCAACTCAAGCCTTCTCTATTCCTGCCAAGGTGACAGGTAGTACCTCATTGCGTGCCTTGGAGAATTCAGCCTACTGGCCACCAGGTGGCAGCAGGAACTAGCAGTCCTTTCCATTCCCTCAAGATTAGGTATGTATGAGAATGTCTTTTTTGTTTTCAGAGCATGACCTATTTGTAATCCTTACTGCGAGCAGGAATGCTTATTTCACAAAGCAGGCACACATTCCTAATTTGAGATTGCATTTGAAATGTATATTTTTAAAATCCACACTTTGAATGCTTACTTCAAAAAAATAATTTTCATGCTTCAGAAAATGGAGGGGAAGTATGCATATTGAAAAATATGCATAGAAATGCACACCTGTCTCGTTCAACATAATCACTTTCTTTGTTAGAATTAGGTTGAAATTAAAATGAGAGTGAGCCAAAATTGTTTGTGGAACAAAGTTGAAAATTGCTGCTTCTCCTGCATCTCTAACATGTTAAAGAAGATCCAAAATGCTGTGGCATCATCCCTTCTCTAAATATTTGTCAAATTCATAGGCAGACCTGACTGTTTGGAACTTTTCAAAACTTTGAATCCTGTTCCACACAGAATGCCTGATGGGGAGGCATGGGGAGGATTGGCTTTAGTAGACTGTAGCTTTGATTTTTCCAATCAAGGAGCCAAGAACAGAGTGCCACAGCCCTTCATGCCATCTTGCAACCCCCGGGCTCTGCACTTATTTAATACTTTTATATACCATCTTCTACCTGCACAGCTCTCTAGACAGTTTACATAATAAAAACCAACAACGTAAAACTTCAGAAATAAAACAATTAAAACCAAAGTATAAATAAATAATAAAAATAAAAAGCAGGCATACTACTCCAATATTTGGAGGTGGTATGTAGCCAGTGGTATGTAGCCCTTGATGTGACCAATCCTCTTTTAAATCCATCCAAATTGGCAGCCACCACTATGTCTTGTCGCACTGAATCCCATAGCTCAACTATGCAGTGTGAAGAAGTCCTTCCTTTTATTTGTCCTGAATCTCCCACAAATCAGCTTCATGTACGATGTGAGAAGAAAAATGTCTTCCCATTTTTTGAGCTAAACAATCCCTGTTGCAATGTTTCTTCATAGTGGGGCTGCTCCACCCTTTGAGCCATTATATTTGCCACTGTTTGCAGAGTAACTGTGTTTTTATTGCCAGAAGAAGAAATGTTTGTGAAATGCTGTGCCTCAAGTGTTGGCCTAGGGTACCATGTCATGTTCCTTGATCCTGGAGGAGGAGGGGCAGGGCCTTCCATTCCACTCATCCAGTCTCAGGCAGTGAAGTGTCCCAGGCCAGTCCAATGCATTTTGCAGAAATGGGGAAGTGAAGGAGACCCAGATTGAAGGAGGCCAGGAAGGTAATTTTGGTAGATGCTGATTGTTCTGCAGGAATTCTAAAAAGCTGCCATTTTCATATAATTTACCATTTATCATAATACCATTTTCATTAAATATACAAGGGCTTGTTACTCCTTCTAGATGTGGAGGCACAATAAGTATGCTTTCACTTGGAATTGCTGTTCTCAAAATGGGTGAGGGGATATGTAAACTTTGTTTCTTTCCCAATTTCCTTCCCAACAAATACTGGGAGAATTTAGGTGACTATAGGTAATGATTCACTAAATATGAGTATCTTACCAAAGTGGAACTTTGACCACCCTGCAGTCTACACCTGCTCAAAAACCAAAGAAATATTTTTTTCCTTATTCATTGGCAGGACACTGTAGGCAAACATTTTACCAAGTGGGTATATACACACTGTGGGAAGCTTCATCCCAAAATGGTATTTCCAACACTTTCTCCATTCTGGTTCCCAGCAATTCTGGGACCAGCTGCTGATCCAACAACCATCACAAGACCTGCAGTCTAAGCTCAGTACTTCCAGAACTTTCTCCCACCTCCTGTCCTGCTTCATTTTGGGACTCTGACCATGCAGACACTGACTGAGTTGAGGCAGCACAATAACACACTGAAGGTTTGAGTATGGGTTGTCTCTATACCATGGATGGTTGTAGAACTTGAGTTATTGTATTGTCTGAACACAGCCATGCTAACAAATTATGGTTCATTAACCATGAACAATGCATGAACAGAACCCAATGATTGTAGTTGAGTTGCAAACTGTGAGTTGTTTGTATTTAACAAAAGTAGTTTGTTAGTGTGGCTGGGTTCAGACAATGTGATAACCTACGTTTCAACAAAAACACACAGTTGTGACTTTACCATCAAGTCAGGGGCTGCAATCCAATCATGAGCTGGGCTAAAGGTAAAAGAGGCGTACCCAAAACACCAGCATATTTAATTTAAAGCTCTTACTATAGGAAACCAAACCTTAAGAAAGGCATTTCCCACTTTTAGGATAGGAAAACGCTATGAAAAAGCTGGGAAACCAACCAATGATCCACATTTGAAGGATGTGAGACATAGTTTTTGGAGAATCTTGGATGAGCTGAATACGCCCCTTGGCCAGAGGTTCAGTACTGCTGGGAAGTAGGATGGTAAATGGAATGTGTTTCCTGAACCCAGTGCATTTATAGGAATCCGTATCAGTGACTCTGTGTACAGGAAAGGGGTGGTGTTCATCCTAGTCATGCTGAAGTATAAAGCACCAGGATGCGAGTTTATAGCAGAGTGCAGTAGATGAAATTGTCCTCACCTGTGCAGATGTGGGGTTTCCCTTTCCGCCCTTCCTCCAGAGAGAGCAGGTATCATCTTGGTGCACACCAGACCCTCTTCCTTGCCACACAAGCCTGCTCACTTCCTCCCCATCCACCTGCATGGAGTTTGGTTTCTCCTTCTGTGGCGCCAGGTGTGGAGCACCTGTCAGTCACCTTT